GTTACAATCTTTTTTTTTTTTAATAATTACACAAACTTTTTTTTTTAATAATTACAAACTTTTTTTAAAAAATAATTACAACCTTTTTTTTTTAATAATTACAATTAAAAAAAAAATTGGAAAAAATTGGGTTTGCATTTTTTTTTCCTGGTAATACAAGTAATTAAAGATGATTACATTATCTGTTATCATAAACTAAATCATAATTCTACGGCCCTCTTTTTTTTTCGGATGATTACTCAATATTTCCCCTTCCCCCAATCCCCTTTTCCCCTTATTATTACAATAAAATAGGTAGTACAACCAATCGGAATGGTTACTATTTTAAATTGACCAATAATTTTCAATAATTTCAAGATAAAGTTTATTTTCTCCCTAAAAAAGACGTAAGAAATGTTAAGGGAAAATGTAAGTGAATGTAGGGAAATGTAAGGGTGAAAAAAAAAATAAACAAAAGATTTTTTTTCTTTTAGAATGAATGGACTGTAAACGATGGTTGGTTCCTTATTCGGAAAAAAATAAACATAATAAAATAATATATTTTTAATTTAGGGTCTTTTTGATAGTCAAAAAAAGACCATATTAGATATCATTCATTTTAAGTTTCATTTATTTAGATCTTTTTAAAAAAAATAATTTTTAATGTTTTTGTTTACACATTGATTGTTTACTTTGTATTCCGGATTATCGTTCTCAGATATGAACAGACCATTCATTCTGAGAAATTCGGAATATTCGGAATATTCATATTACATTATCGTATATCTAAATAACATCTATTTCATTATAGGTATTCATAATCAGAAAAAACTTATCTGTTGTTTCACAACTATATATTTAGTACTACTTAAATATTATCTTTGGATTTATTTATAGAGATTATTATTATTATAATAAAAATATTCGATTTTTTTTTTGAAGTACAAATATTTATATTATTATTTGTACTCCAAAAAGAAAAAAAAAATTATTCAAAATGTCTTTTAAAAAGGAAATCTACACAATTACAAAAAAAGAGAGAGATATAGATTAAAATCAATCACTTCAAATTATGTCGAATCACGAATCACGAATTACGAATTTACCTAATTAGGGGGGTTTATTTAATTCTAAATAGTAGAAGCAGGTGGACCATAAAGTGTATTACATCTTCTTTCAAAAGCATCAATTATCATCATATTCATATCATCAAAGAATACACTTGCAAGTTGTGAATACACAACTGAATAAAATTCATATTCTAAATGAAAATTCAAATCACAATGTGATGATGAAGAATCACTATGTGGAGTTATTTTCCATTCAGCTGATAAATTTTTAAACAAGTCATCTGATACATCTGCCTAAAAATGTAAATTTCAATATTTCAATATTAGATTTTTTCTTTCTTGATAAATATTTTTTTTTTTTAATACATACTCTCACTAATCCTGGTTTCTCACATGTTACATCAGATATGTAAGTCTCCGAGATTCCATTAAATCCCACCCCTAATACAGCCGTAAGTTTTTTTTCTCTATTACTAATTTCCTGTATTTTTAATACTTCTGAATTTGTACAATAAGGAATGAAATTTTTATATTCATCAATATTTGATACAACATCATAAAGCTGTTTCTGCGTATATCTATTTTTAAAAAAAGAAAAAGAATATTATAAATAAAGAAAGATATGATACATTCATATATATATATAAATATTACGTTATATAATACAAACCCAATCACCTTATGCCCATCATAAGTCTTTTTTGATGATAATACATTAAAAAAGGTTCGACAATGTGGTGGTTTTAATACTGATTTTAATGCACTTGTTACGTTTGTTAAATTAAATTGAACCATTTCCTTTTTGATGTCGATCTTTTCGATAAGATCTGCGAAAGAAAAGTATTTCTTTTTTGATTTTTTTAAATAAAAGTAATCAAAAAAGATTTTTTTTTTTTAAAAAAAAAAAAAAAAAAAAAAAAAAAAAAAAAAAATGTCCGTTAGCTATTGCATATATTAAAAAAGAAAAAAAAGTTTTTAAGAATATTGAAAAAACCCAAATTCGTAAAAAAAAACTACTTAGAAGCGCAATTTATACTTTTTATGGAATTATCATGTGAACAAATTGGTCATGAGAACAATGATTTGCAACGAAAATACTTCATGGTTATTGCCATGCATGTAGTTTAAAAACAAACAAGAATATATTAGAAAACAATGTAAAATTAACTTTTTAACGATAATTTGGAATGTATGGCGGCACATGACTGTTGTTTTTTAAAAAATCTTAAAAATCTTTTTTTTTTTCTCGAAAACAAATCTAAAGCAATCGGGTCGCATCGCACAAAAAAATACAATTGGACAATAAAAATATTTAATGTGAGAAAATATTATTTCCTTTTATATTAGATGAGTGAAAAAATAAATTTTTTATTTTTTTTTGGATGGGTTATTTTAAGAAATAGAGTTTGAAGAAAGATTTCAAAGGTTTCACAATATATTCGCAATAATATACAATATATACGATATATACGCAAAATAGAAATTACTGCGTCACAGAGTATATTACTATTAGTCTATTACAATATACTATATTTTATATATTTGAATATATATTTTGAATATACTGTATATTTTGAATATCTTGTATATTTTTATATTTTGGATATTATATCTTTATTATATTTTTAATTGTATCTTTATCAAATCATCAAATCATCAATTGAAAAAAAATCAAGTCTTTGTATAAATATATATATAACAATACAAATTCTTTGATTCTTTTATACATTGCTTATAAGTGCTTATAAGTAACATTATTTAAAATAATTATCTATCAACTTCGGATATTGTCGTGTGATTTTTGACGATCAAGAACAGAAATGATTATAATTTCTTAATTATAGACAATGAATATGTGGCATGATTCATCTGTTACATGTTTATTACATAATTTGTTTTGCATTTTTTTTTATGCAGATAAAATAATCTTTATCTTTAAAATCCTTTCTTTTTTTTTTTTATAATAATAAGAATAAAAAAAAAAAAAATTTTAAAACTTATTTCCTCTTTGTATGTTCCTGATTTGGTTCCAACTCTCCATTTTAAGAAAGGAACACAAAGAAAAGAGATGAACGAATGAAATTTATAATAATATTATTTCTTATAAATATTTCAATAATTTTTAATTAAAATTAATTCAGTTTTAAATACAATTTGTTCATCCAAAGGAAAAAGATATTGTTGTCATTATGTAATAAAATGTTGGGGGAAATTAAATTTTAAAAACTTGTTTTAATTTTTATTGATTCACACGATAAAAGAATCTTTACTATGAAAGTATTTATTATTTTCCATCGTGGAAAAATTTAAAATAAAATGCGTTGAATGCGTCATCATTGATTTATTACCAAAAAGAGACTCAAAAAAGAGTAAAATTTTTTTTTTTCAATCTTTCTCAAAATGTCCTTTTTTTTGTTGTTGTTAAAATTGTCCATTTTGAATATTTTTATAAAAATAAATAAATAAAATAAATCACATTACACTACACCATAATACAATTGGTAAAACAATGCCATCTGTTGCTCTAAAATTTGGATCCTTTGTTCAAGGCTTCTCTCATAAACTCCTTTACCTATAAAATTCCCATTATAATTATTTCCAAGATTGTAGTGATCGAACGGACCCGTGACCGAAGTTGTCGTGGGAGGATTATTGTCGTAATACATTGGTGATGTTATCATTGGATTGCCTTGTGGTAAAGATGGTTGAATTTGTAAACTTTGTAAATTTAATAACGCGAGAAGTTCGGCTTCAATGTCTTGAGTCGTATTATTGTTTATATTCTCTGAATTGGTCTCATCTTGCATAACATTATCACTTGAAGTTGATTGTTCGTAAGAGAGAAATGTTAAGCCACGAGCTTGATTATGTAGCATTTGCGCGTCTGTAGCCATCTTTCGATAAGTATTTTTAACATCTTCAGGTTCTTCGGCCCATAAACGACTCGCGAGCGATGAAACGTTCGATCGGTGACATGCTACTTTTTGTGATTTTAATTGTCTGACTAACGCCATCCTATAAGCTATAAAAGCATTAGGAATTCTCACCGATTCTACTTTATTAGATGAAATATCTGTTGGAATGAGATCTTGAGCCGTTATGACTGGAGGGAATGGGGGTCTAATATTATTTTTATGTGCAGAAATTGATTCAGTCATTTTATGAATTTTTTTGATTTTTTTGATTTTTTGATTTTTTGGAATTTTCGGGGGGTTTTTTGGTATTTTTGCCAATTTGATATTTTTTTTTAAAAAAAAAGAAAATAAAAATTTTTTTTTTTAAGTAATGAAATCAAGAGATTTTTCCTCCCTTTTATATCTATACGAAATAAAAAATTTTGATACTCACTGAAAGAAGGAGTACCTTAAAGGTCACAAACTTTGTTATTTATCAAATCTTTTAACTAAAAAAATAATATAAAAAAAGTATAATGACGAATTCACATAAAAATTTTTAAAATTAACTCGTTCAAACGTGTTGATAAAAATGAACTTCTATCTTAGGTTAACATAATTTACGTTATGAATAGAATATTCCAGCAAAATAAATATTGGCGTTGTAGATTTATATTTATATCCAAATAAGTGTTAATTGAAATAAATTTTTTGTTGTAAAAAAAAATTTTTTTTTTTATAGAATAAAAAAATTATCAAACTTTAAATCTACCCCCTCTATTGAAAAAAAAATGAAAATAAATAAAATATATTAAAATAAAAATAAAAATAAAAATAAAAATAAAAATAAAATTTTTAATCTTACCGCCAATCAACCAAATATATTTTACATGTTGGGGCTGAAAAATAATAAATATATACAATATTATTAATTATTTTTTTTTGTTGAAGACAATCATAAAATATATCGAATCGTTGAAGAGATAGATAGAATAACAAATGGGGATTCCCACGAATGGGTATAAAAAAAATGTTTTCTTCTCCGAACTAAATATATGATGTAAGAAAAACGTATTAAATAATCGAATAAATACAAAATAATAAAATAATAAAATAATAAAATAATAAAATAATTTTTTTTAAATAAATATAAATTAAAAAATAAATAAAATAAAATAAATAAGAATAACAAATAAAAAAAAAAAATAAAGTAATAAGATAAAATAATCAAGATAAAATAAAATTTAAAATATTAAATGTCATTTATATGTGATGAATAAAAGATATACATAACGAATTAAAAAATTTTCAAACTTCTAAATCCGCAGGAAGGTGTGAAAAGAAAATTTTTAGTAGAAGGGAAAAGGTAAAAAAACCGTTCAATTTATAACTTTTTTTGTAAAATATGAACTATTAATTCGATAAATAGGGAATGAAAATACTTTTTTCTTTACTTTTACTAGAACTAAAAACTAAATAAGTTAGAATTGGGTCATATGAGCAATATGATATCGCACAAATTTTTTTTTTTTTTTTTTTTTTTAAAAAAAAAAAACTTCAACCAAAACTTTTGGCTCGCCTATATATATAAATATTTTCTTATGATAGTCTAATCTAAAATCAACCAAAACAAAAATCTATGATGCATTACGAGTTCTTTAGATGTAGAAAAAATTTTCGGACTTTGATTATGCCACCTGACCTACCGTGGTACGATGTATGGGCCTCATGACCCAAACATCGGTTACCTTATTTCTTATATTTATCGTAAATGATTTCTCTAAATGTTAATGATATAATGATATCAATTTCTATTTTTCATATCTATTTAAATGCTTAATTAACTGTGAGATTAATCCTCAACGCGGTTTAAAAGATTGTAAATTTACTGCGTGCCAACTTTTTTTTCGCGACAGGTAACACGTGAAAAAAAAAAAGAAAATGATTCGAAGGAAGTCTAAAAAACGTAAAACGTATAAGTAGATTAATTCAAATAGATGAAGCTAAAGTGTTTTTGTAAAGTAAATAGAATAATCACCATTTTTTTTTTTTTTTTGAAGTTCGGGATCTTCGAAGAATCTAAGCCATATGTAACGCATTTTCAGCTGATTTTTAAAACGTCATCTTTAGTTTCTTTTTGCTCTCTAAAACTTTTTCATTGGCTGAATTTATAACGGAATTCCTCCTATCTTGTATCACGTAATCTTGAATTCGATAACTACCATTTCGAGCTTTAATTGTTAAATTTACACCGTTAATTTATTTAGAATTTCTTATATGTAGATCAATCCATTAATTACAATTATTTTACCTTATAAAATGACTGGTTCACGAATTCAGATAGATTAGATTAGATAATAAAAATTTCATGAATTTGAATTTCATAATCTTACTATATTTTCTATATTTTGTAATAAAATATTACTGCGTTTATAGCATAAAGTATTTGAAGATCAACTTTAAAATTTTAATACTTAAGATGTTTTAACCGATTGGGAAAATCTTAAAATTTGGATTATCCAATGAGATTACTTAAACAATTTAGGTTTCACTTCTCGTTATGATTATTACTCATCACTCTCATTTATTACTCGTCACGTATCGAATTTAACGTAATTGTAACATCAAGGGTTTATTTCGGTTAAAATAAATTGCTCGGTCCGATTGGTATTAATTTGGTAACATAAAATGGTCATAAAATAATGGCGTTAACCAATAAATGTTGATGATAACCAAAAATATATCTATACTTGTAATAATAATTATGTATGAGAATTGTATTTTTTGAAAATACTTTTTTTTTTTTTTACTGATTTTTTGCTTTGATAAGAGAAATAAATAAATAAAAATAAATAAAATTTAAAAAAGTTTTTTATCAAAGCAATCTAAAAATGTATGTAAGATTAGGTAAAATAATTTAGTTAAATTTATCGTCAATCAACCAAATGTTGGGGATAAATATGTACAATTTGGGACAATCATAAAAAAAGAATTGTCAAATAATTGGAAATTTAGAATAAACAAATGAAATTCCCACGTATGGATAAAAAAAATATTTTTTCTCTCCGAACATAAAAAAAAAATGATGTAAAAGGGACGTTATTTAGTGAACTAAAATAATCGAATAAATAAAAAATTTTAAAATGAAATATAAATTAAATAAATTGAATAAATAAAAAAAATAAAAATATATTAAATAAAATAAAATATTAAAATTGAAATTGAATAAAATAGAATATAATAAAATGGTTTACTATAAAATGCTTTACTATAAAATGGTTACTATAAATGAATATAAATTATATAAAATTAAAACAAATAAAAGATAAAAATAAATGTTATCGATATGATATAGATATTTAAAAGATATTACAAAATCACTCTTATCATAAACATCAGTTTTTTGGAATCGAGGAAAAAAAAAAAAAAAAAAATTCAAACTTCCAAGTTCGCAGGAAGGTGTAAAGGAAAGTTTTGGAGAAAGGAAAGGAAAAAACGGTTTAATTTATAGTTTTTTTGTTAAATATAAACTATTACCTTGATAAATAGGGAATGAAAATAATCTTCTACTTGGTCAAATGACCATATGACCCACTACTACTAAACCTCTAATGGGTTAGGAAGGTCAAATGACCTTTTTGTACAACCGGTGCATAAACATACTCATACTTTATCTGTTAATCTAATAACTCGATTAAACTGATTATGAAATTCTCTGCTCGTAACACGTGAAAAAGCAAGGTGCCAACTGCCAAGATATGTAGTGTGTCATGTGATGAATTTATATCTTTCATTAAAAATTTTCTTTTATAGAATTTCGTATCAGACTAGTTATCGAATTTCTATGATCATATGATCTTTCACGTTTTTATTTTCTGTCGTACTTTTGCTTATGCGTATACTTTATGTTTGGATTATCTTCCGTAACTTGACGAAATAGATCAAGTACAAACTTATTATACCCGAGTATTTTACAAATTTTTAAAATTTAAACCCGAAAATTTCCGGAAAATTTTTTTTGAGGGGATACTATAGTACTATAAATAGGGGGTCATGATACATCGTTATTACTCTTTGTTAACTTGACACTTTCGATATTCAAAAGAAAAAACTTTCTCAACATACTGTACATCTCTGAACCAAAAATGAGACATTTCATCTGCAATTCATTTATAATCAGTGACAAAAATTAATTTAGTCTATTTATCTTGCAATTCAGTAAACTTATTAATAATTGAAGTTGAATGCGAATATTGAAGATTGCTTCTTTAATTATGAGCTATAAATTCAATTATGTATCCGCAAGTTCGTAATAAGAACATTAAGAATAACATACATATTTTGTTGTCGAAATTATTACATATGTTTAGTACTACATTATAAGTGTATATACTGTATATTATTATATAGGATTTCTAACAACTTTAATTAATGCTTGGTTATGTCTGATTGGGCTGAATTCGATTATTCAATATACAACTAATCTATAAGTGTCGTCGAATTGAAATTACGGCATTACGAAATATGGATTTTACCATTTAAATATCTAACAAAACATCAAGATCAGCATTATAGATTTACGGATTGGCATTAAATAATTACGCCATTGCGGCGATTTAATATATTACGGTATAAGCTTCATATGCCGTAATTAATTCGACGGCAAGTATGGTTTGGCCAGCATTAAAAAATTAAAAAAAAATTAGCACGTGACAAATTGACCACATCAATAATATTCACGTGGTTTTACAGCATCGCTGCAAAATTCTAACCCTATAGATTTCACCTCCAAGATGATAGTGAAGAATTTAATCGGTTAATTCATTATAATGAAGGATGTTTACTGTATTTTATTGGTTAAATGACTGTTAAATACTTGCATATTTGATAAATACAGATACTGCTTTAGTTAATTTAGCTTTATTTCTGAAAATGTTTATTATTATATATTGTAACTATTATTAATTCATTAATTAATATGATAGTATTATTAGTATTATTGGAATATTTAAAAAATATAAAAAATGATTACTATAAATAATACTTTATTTATATAAGTTTTTAACAATTACTTTATTATAATAATTTTTAAATAAAAAATTTTTTAAAATAATTTGTAATTTTAAATAAAAAAAAAAAAATTCAAAAAAAACTTTTTTTTTATTAATTATTAGAACCAAATTTTTCAAATTCATTTTTTTTTTCATTTTAAAGCTAAAATATTATTTTAATAATACTAAAATAGAATTTTAAAATATATATATAAAAAAATCAGATTTGAATTTATATATAATAATGAAACAAAAAAAAATGCATAAAAATCTTTTCTTTTATAAGTAATACATAATGGAAAACTATTACTTTTTGTTTTAAATATTGACCAAAATTATTATAATTTTGCTTTTAAAAAATACACTCCCCTATAAAAAGTATCCAACCACCCTAAAAATTAAAAAATCATAAAAAATTCAGTGGGCCCAACAATAAATTTATATTTATTTTAAAAGTTCAAGATATGAGACACTTTTTAAAAGTGTTTTTTTAGCTTAATTATTAATAAAAATTGGCGGAAATTTTTAATTTTAAAAATGGCAAAATTCTTAACTTTTTAACTAGAACAGTTATGGCCAAATGAATGCCAGAAATCAATTCTTTAACTAAAAAATAGCTTATGTTTAAAAAATCAGAAAGGTTGGACTGGTAGTTGTCAAAAAATCTACTACTGAAGATCATAATTTTTATATGTAAAAACAGGACTCTGGACATCACATATATAACTCATAACTGATCTGCATGAATTTAAGTACTTTTTGCTTCTGCTAAAATAGACCTAATTTGCTAAAAATCAAATTATCACATTTCAAATCTATACTAATTTGCTAAAACTCAAAATATGAGTTAATAATCTTTTCTTTTATTATCAATAAAAAAATAAATGATTAATATAAATTAAACTGCCAATTTTTATAAATAAAATATGTAGATTATAGATAAAATAATAATTAATAAAAATAATAAATTAAATAAATAATTATTAAAAAATAAAATGGTGTGAAACTAAACAGATGGTTTTTGGCCCACATTATACTTAATTTTGGCCAAAATATAACCTGGATCCCGAAACTAATATTTTTAAAAATATTATTTATAAAGTTAAAAAAAAAGAATAAGTTAAATTTAAAAAAAGTACCAATTTGCTCAAATATAAAATATGACTTTGTAAAATCAATACAATTTGCTAAAACTCATAATTATGACTATTAATTAATTTTCAATCAATTTGCTCTATCTAAAATTATGAGTTTAACCTAATTTTGATTGAATTTGCTAAAACTCAAATGTGAGTTATATATGTGATGTCCGGGATCCTGTAAAAACAGTAAAATCAACATTTTTGCCAAATTTTAGTAATCTACAGTAATGGATTTTTTGACAACTACCAGTCCAACCTTTCTGATTTTTTAACATAAGCTATTTTTTAGTCAAAGAATTGATTTCTGGCATTCATTTAGCCGTAACTGTTCTAGTTTAAAAGTTAAGAATTTTGCCATTTTTAAAATTAAAAATTTCCGCCAATTTTATTAATAATTAAGCTAAAAAAACACTTTTAAAAAGTGTCTCATATCTTGAACTTTTAAAATAAATATAAATTTATTGTTGGATTCACTGAATTTTTTATGATTTTTTAATTTTTAGGATGGTCGGATACTTTTTGTAGAGGAGTGTATATACAGTTAACAATAAAATTTTTTTAGTTGTCTTTAGCTTTTTATTATCTAAAGTAAAATAAAGAATAATATATATAGTTATATACTGTATTTTTCTAAAATTAATTACCCCCCTAAAATTAAGCATTCTCTACCAACTTTTCAAACTTTGATAAAAAGATTTTTATATAAAATACTAGTAAAAAAACCTTCAAAATTAAGCACCTTTCCAAGTTTTTTAATCAAAATTCTTGTAAAAAAGAGGTAACTAATTTTGGAAAAATATGGTATTTATGCATTATAAAAAAAAAATTAATTATATGAATTTTTCTATTTACTATATGATAATTATTTAATAAAATTGCAAATTTAAATTGTTTTTATTTTCTAATAATATTTGAAATTTTATTAGTAAGATACAATAATCAATTTTAATTTTAAAAATATTTGTATAATAAAGGACTTTAAATTCCTATATTTATTTTTATTGAAATTATGTTTTAAAGAATATTTATTACACATTACATGTGGCATTTATCAAGATTTATAACAAGAACATAATATATATTTTATTAAAAAAATAAATCGTTACCAGAGCAACAACTAATACAACAATAAATTTGTGATATATTACTGTTACATTATATACAATAATATTAATTCCTTTTTTACCAGAATAGATACATTAGGGTTGTCTGGAAAAATGACTAAAAATTGTATCTTGTAATTCCATTTTTATTGCACCATTTACTTCAAATATATTATTGTTTCTTAAAGTTTAGGTTACAACATTATCACCTATTAACTCAACCCTATATAAAGCCACGTTCAAATCTATATCTTAAAAATTATCTAGATATCAGTTTCTGATTTCATTTGCAAAAGAAGAAACTTGATCATCATTAACATTAGATATCATTATTTTGAAAATATTGTTCACTTCTTTACCAGAAGTTTAGTATCTATATACTAATACAATATTTCATATCACATTAAAATAACTATTTCATACATTTTGAAAATAATTTCTCTAAGTAACAGAAGTATAACCATATACATTTTGGCTATTTTGATACTAGTAAACATAATAGATATCACAACAAGGTTTCAATCATCATATTCAAAGGCCGTATGCAAAGTTAAAAATAAATTAATAATATTAACTTTAGTAAAATTCACTGAAAGTTTATGATAATAGTATAGTTAATAAAAGAAGAGAAAATAGGAAGCATGAATTATCAATGAGAAAGATAAGCAAAAAGAGTAATTTGATTATTTAATATTTTAGAAAAAGAGGTTTCTTCGTCTAATAAGGTCTTCAAATTTCTGAATAAAAAAAAATATATATTAGCTTTATATACCCTAAGTCATTTCCTTGCAAATGCATAGCCATAACTGAAAAAAATTTTCATTCATATCATTTATATATTATTTGTGTAATTTTTCTCCTGTCAAACTGCAATATGTCAGTTTCTTTTAAACGAGTTTACTCAGAGAAAATAATACAATAATGACCTAGGTAGTCAGTTTAGTTAGAGTAAAAAAAAAAGTTGTATATGTGAGTTTAGCATTACTGAGCTTTCACAAAAACGTAACATTAATTTACCTATCATTTTTTCTGCATATTTCTTTTATTGATTTTTTCTATTTTATTATGATAATAAGCTATTAATCAAGAGTTTATACCTTAAACTCTCTCAAAAACTCTCAAACTTTCTTAAACCTTCAAACAGTATAATGTAGAGTATAAAGAGCCCAGAAGATTTAAAGGAACTGTATTTTACTATGAAGACCAGGTTATATAGGTTCATGATAAAAATTATTTTTTTGAATATCTATTTTTACAATCTCTATAAAAAATATTTTTGCTAAAATATACTTAAAATAAACTTAAAATTTTATTTTATACTTAAAATATATTGAAATAGGCAAAAATTAAATATCATTTAAGTATAATTTAAGTATATAATAATATATTTAAAATATTCTTATTTTAAATATCCTTAAAATATACTGAAATGGGCAAATTTTAAATGTAAATTAAATATATTTTAAGTATATATTAAATACAATTTAATTCAAATTTTGCGAAAATTCAATTTTCAGTATATTTTAAGTATAAAATAAGAAAATTAAGTATATTTTAAAGAAAATTAAATATATTTTAAATATATTTTAAGTAAAATTTTTTTTTATAGGGAATTGAGTTTACAGAGAGTGTGATAAATCTATATAATTAAAAAATTGTTATGCTTAAATAATACCCTGTAATATTAAAAGTATAATATTCCTGCGCCCAATCTATTTCATATTTTATTATAGTTAAAGGAATTTAATTGGTAGTCTAATCTTGCTTGGGCTTCTAAATTCTTTTGAATTGTTTAAGTCCAAAACTAAAGCAATTATTTTGTCTGATAGTTAACTTTTTAGAAGCAGAAAAAGATAAAGCATTTGTTATTTGTGATTTTGGTAACTGTAAATATTACTAGAATTTGGATGAGTACAAATGTAGAAAAACTATTTGTTCTACCAATATTCTTATTTCACCAGTTTAATCTTGATTTTTTAGATTGAGAAGATCATCTTAAAATTTATTGTAAAAGAAACATGGTAACTAGAGATGGAAGAAAGTTTACTTGCGATTTCTATTTTGTTACAAAACTTATTGTGGATGATCTAAGCAATGAAAAATATGTTATGATGCTATAAAGAGAATCCTTTTAAGAGTTATTACTGATTCAAAATTCAAATAACTGTGGATATTATACTAACAAAACTTTGGTATGACAAGAAACATCTTGGGAAGATTTGTTAAATAAATGACAGAATTTAAACTTTCATTCTATAGCAATTAATTATGGAGTGTGAAAAACTGGTCAAACATAAAATAAATATGTATAAAAGTGCCATGTGCATGTTCATTAGTATTTTACTTCAGATACTTGGAATGGAATGTAAGAAAAATTGATAGATAATAATATTTATTGAAATTAATGTTAAAGATTATCTGAATCAAATTATTTACTAAAGGATTGTACAAAATTGGAATAAAAAAGGCTACGATTAACAGAACATCTGCTTATACTAAAAACAATTTCCAATCTAAATGACAATCTTGTCACAATAATGGAGGAAAATAAGGAAAATACTAAAGCACTTATAAAGACAATAAAAAATATAGGAAAATCTAAGAAAAGTTCTGAACAATAGTTATGATAATTATAGTTGTTTCCAAAATTCAATTGGCAAATCCGAAATCCGAAATTATGAAATCGTAATTATATTTTAACTAAATATACTAAATATCTGATTTTTATTTATTAGATAAGGCGAAAGTACCAGATATATTAAATGGTCAAGATTCATATAATGAACAAGTAATTGGAAAAGAAAATAATAATATTAAAACTGCAGAAGAAGGTAATATTTTATTTATTAATATGTTTTATTTTGTAACTTATTAATTTGTCTAATTTATTTTTTTAGTATTTTACGAAAATCAACAAAAATTCTCTAAAAAGCCATTAGATTTAACTGACATAAATCAACAATTAGAAATTTCAATGAATATTGATCAATTTAAAGAGTTATTAATTGTGGTTTAATTTCCAAGCTTAAAGGAAAGGTTAATTTATCATAGCAAATTTATTATAAATTAAAATAGTATCTATATTTGCGGTATAATATTTAGTACATGATATTTAGTACATGATATTACTATGATATTTATGATATTTAGTATGATATTTAGTACATGGTATTTAGTATTTGAAAAAATATCAATAATAATTATGCTATTGTAGTTTATTTATAACTTAATAAAAAAATATCAGCACGATGAAAAAAGCATGATCCTATTTGGCTGTAGGATAACTTTTGATAAGTATTTTTAACATCTTCAGGTTCTTCGGCCCATAAATACAATGAAACGTTCGATTGGTGACATGCTACTTTTTGTGATTTTAATTGTCTAACCAATGCCATCTTATAAGCTATAAAAGCATTAGGAATTCTCACCAATTCTACTTTATTAGATGAAATGTCTGTTAGAATGAGATCTTGAGCCGTTATAACTGGGGTATGGAGGCCTAATGTTGTTTTTATGTGCAGAAATTGATTCGAATTTTTTTGATTTTTTGATTTTTTGGAATTTTCGGGGGGGGGAGGGGGGTATTTTGGCCAATTTTTCCAATTTTTTTATTTTTTTTAAAAAGAAAATAAAAAATTTTTTATAAGTAATGAAATCAAGAGATTTTTCATCCTTTTTATATCTATACGAAATAAAAAATTTTGATAAACCTGAGAGGAATCACTGAGAAGGAAGGAGGACCTTAACGGTTCACAAACTTTGTTAAAATCAGATCTTAACTAAAAAAATAATATAAAAAAGTATAATGCATAAATTATTAAATTAACTCGTTCAAACGTGTTAATAAAAATGAACTATTTTAGGTTAACAAAATTTACGTTATGAAATAGAACAATAAATATTAGTGTTGCAGGTTTAAAAATAAATAAATATAAAAAAATAATCTTACCGCTAATCAAATATGTTGGGGAGCTGAAAAATAATAAATATATACAATATTATTGATTTTTTTTGTTGAAGACAATCATAAAATATTTCGAATCGTTGTTCTCCGAACTAAATATATGATGTAAGAACAACATTATTAAAAAATTAAATAATCGAATAAATACATAATCGAATAAATACAAAATAATAAAATAAATAAGATGAAATAATCAAGATAAAATAAAATTTAAATATTAAATGTCATTTATATGTGATGAATAAATGTTACTTAAAAAGATATACAAATTATAAATAACGAATTAAAAAATTTTTCAAACTTCTAAATCCACAGGAAGGTGTGAAAAGAAAATTTTTGGTAAAAGGGAAAGGGTAAAACCGTTCAATTTATAACTTTTTTTTGTAAAATATGAACTATTAATTCGATAAATAGGAAATGAAAATACTTTAATGATTTCCATCAAATACTTTACTAGAACTAAAAACTAAATAAGTTAGAATTGGGTCATATGATATCGCACAAGTCATGTGATTTACATATTTTCAGACTTTGATTATGCCACCTGACCTACCGTGGTATGATGTATGGGCCTCATGACCCAAACATCGGTTACCTTATTTCTTATATTATCGTAAATGAATTCTTTAAATGTTAATGATATAATGATATCAAATTTCCATTTTTCATATCTACTTAAATGCTTAATTAGCAGTTTAAAAGATTGTAAAATTTACTGCGTGCCAATTCAATATTTTTTATCCCTAAATTATAAATTGTTAAAATATTAAAAATGCTATTTATAGCCTTTTTTAAAGTATTAAGTAAATTTGTAAAATAAGTAAAATTATAAATTATAATTTTGAAAATTATATAAAGCTTGTATATTAAATTTTGTTTTAAAAAAAAAACTTTTTTTATCAAAAATTACATTATTTTTTTTTTTTTGGAAATAATATATCATTTTTTATATATTAAATTTAAAGAAATGAAAAATTAGATAGGATATAATCACCTCCATTATAGTCATATTACTTTATATAGTCACCTTAGTTGAATCAAATTTTCATATATAAAATNTTTTTTTTTTTTTTTTTTTTTTTTTCTATGTAAAGGCGCGATCATGTTTATTGATAATTATGTTAAAGTAATACAATATATTTACAAAATTAAAATAAAATAAAGTATTCTAAATAAGTTTTAAACATTATCAATATACTGCCCCTCCTGAAGGAAATCATTTATAGTTATAAACTACTTATAATACTATTATATCTGTTTTTAAAAATTATATACATATGTAATTATAAAAAATATTTATTAAAATATAATTATTCCAGAATTTAATGATCAGAATTTAATGTTCTTTAGTTTATTGGATTTATCTTATTGAAAGGAATTAAATGATACAGTGCATACAACCTAGTCCCAACAAAAAAATTTTTAAGCGGCCAAATTTTTTATATTATGTAATACTTAATCCTGTAATTTTATTGGTCAGATTTATTTAATTAAAGTTATAATTCTTAATTCTAGCAAGAATTATACATAATTTTAGCCAAATTTACATAGTTAATAATTAAACGAAAGTAATTTTGGCCAGAATTATATGTAATTCTGATCAGAATAAAATGGCCAAATATTTAATTTAATAGTAAAATATTTCAACTTTGAATTGCTACTACTTTATTAAAAAATACTTTATAGAAAATTTAAAAACATAGTTTAATTAAGCTTAATCTGATTTATCATTGTACATTTATACTTTATGTTTATCTTTTTTTTTGAATGAATAGTAGTGATTTAAATTTCATCAAATTTAATTGCTGGGACTAAGTTGTATGCACTGTAGTAATTTTATAGTGATTAGACTAATATTGACCAAACAATTCAATTTTAAAAATAAATTAGCCTACAAAATAAAGCTCTGAACGGGTCGGTTTGGTCCGGATTATAGACGGTTCGGATTAGAGCCGAAATCCGTAAGAACCGAACCGAAAAGCCGGCGGTTCGGTTCAGTTTAATCCGATTTTTATAAAAATGCGAAAAATCGAATAGCCGTCCATCTAGTGATCGTATAAAGTCGAGCCATATATCATTGGATTCGTCTCGACGAGACGCGTCGAATTGTGGTAAGATCATGTCTCTAGCATCGATAGATCACACGTTAACCTACGCTAAATGATTTATCAATAATTGGAATTAGCAAGCTATCTATCGGTGCTAGAGACATGATCTTAGTACCATTCGACGCGACTCAGTGAGACAAATCCAATGAATATAAATTCGTTCGTGTACAACCACTAGATGGTGAATAATATCAAGTTTCGCATTTCTTTAAAATTTTCGAGTGTTAAAAATTAAAAATTCCGATACATGAATTTATTCGTCGTCCAATGGTCGTACAAATATAAATTAGGACTCATTGGATTCATCTTGATGAGATGAGTTGAATGGTGGTAAGATCACGTCTCTAGCATCGATAGATAGCTTGCTAATGCCAATTTTTTATAAATTATTTAGCGTGAATTAACTTACGATCTATTAATGCTAGAGACATGATCTCACCACCATTCGACTCGTCTCATCGAGACGAATCCAATGAGTCCCAATTCATATTTGTACGACCATTGGACGACGAATAAATTCATGTATCGGAATTTTTAATTTTTAACGCTCGAAAATTTTAAAAAAATGCGAAACTTGATATTATTCGCCATCTAGTGGTCGTACACGAACGAATTTATATTCATTGGATTCATCTCACTGAGACGCGTCGAATGGTGCTAAGATCATGTCTCTAGCACCGATAGATAGCTTACTAATTCCAATTATTGATAAATCATTTAGCGTGGGTTAACGTGTGATCTATCGATGCTAGAGACATGATCTTACCACCATTCGACGCGTCTCGTCGAGAGGAATCCAATGATATATGGCTCGACTTTGTACGATCACTAGATGGCCGGCTATTCGATTTTTCGCATTTTTATAAAAAATCGGATTAAACCGAACCGAACTGCCAGTTTTTCGGTTCTAATACCCGAACTGAACCGAACCGATTTTTGAGCCAGTTTCGGATCGGTTCCCCGGTTTAGCCCGAACCGTTCGGAGCTTTACTACAAAATTTTCTAGTATATCAGATTTTTAATATAAATATATCTTATAATTTTATAATTAAATAAACTGTTCATATAAATAATTATGTAGCAATAATCATACAGCTTATATTTCTGAATAAATTAGGTTTATTTTCTTTTTTTAAATTAGATTTTGGTTAAACATTTTAAATCCTAAAATATTCAGTATAGATTTGATTATATGCACTTATAATTATAGAAAACTTTGACACTTCTATTTTTTAATTATATTTATGATTGCTAAGATGTATTATTTAGGTCTTTACATTTGGTAAATACTCTTTAAATCCTTTTCTGTAGAATATATATGAAAATAATAGGATTTTAAACAATACTAATACAGCTTACATTTAAGTTTGCTTAGAGTTTATATTAAAAATTTTCAAAAGTTGTATATTACAGGAGTATTTTCAAAATTTTGTTATTCTACATATCCCTATTTTTAATACAAACAGTAATTCAATTTTAATAAAATTTATATCATTGGATTCATTTTGATAAGAGGATTTTAATAATAGTAAACTATGCCATATAATTAAAACCCGTGACATACCTCCGCCTGATCTATTTATGATCAAAAACTATTTGATCCGTATGCATTCCAATCAACTAATCTAATGTAATCAGAATTTTTTTTTAGACCGTATTGTTATTTTAAAAAAAATTTTTTTTTTTCACTCTTTTTGGACTGAATCATTGTCCTTTTTTTCAGAATTTTTTTCGGTACTTAATTTTTTTTTCGGATTCCTGTTTTTCAGAAATTTCCTTTTTTTTAAACCGATTTCTTTTTTTATCCTTTTTCTTCCCCCAAATTTTTTTTCTTTTTCTTTCAATTTTTTTTTTATTATTAAATAAAGAAATAAAATATTATATTAAATATATTTATTATTTTTTTAAAAAATCAATATAACATGTAGGAAAATTGACCGACGT